TTTTCTACATAGTTGCTGCTCAAGTATATCAAAAAGAAACCAATACTGTCAAAATTCTGTGAAAATCTGTTACAATTATCGTCAGCTTTTGATACTTTTCAGTCAAGTCGGAATTAAACACTTGGTTTGAAATTACTAACCTTTTTTCTATTTAATAAGGGCCTATAGTAAAACTTCATATTATGGAGTAATATCGAATATTAAATTATATTAATACATAGTAGTAGTCTACTACTGGTTTATAAACCTGAATATTGAAAATAAATATAGATATACAAACGTTTTATTATTATATCATGTAGAACGTAGTTTGTCAAATAATAATGATACCCTGCTATTACAACACGAAACCAAACCCTTGTTGTACATTCTATGTATTTTGTAAGTCCTCATTATTGTCATTCTGTGCAATAAAGCGTAATAAATATAAAAGACAGATATACTAACAGTTCCTTCCATTCGATAAGCACAAGCCAACAAGCACTTGACTTCAGTCTTCTTGGGGACAATCTTTTTTTCCAGCTCAAGAAGATCCCTCATGTCAAGTGGATTTTTTTCTGAGCACTTCATCACGTACTTCACGAATTTTTGTTTTAATTCTTCATCTGTTAGTGTCTAAATGTTACAAAATCTTAGTACCGTATCAAAATTCATGAATTTCTTATTTACTTAATGTTAATCTTCTCTGAAAATAGTATTAGGATAGTTCGCTACTCTGATATAGTGCAGATTAAATCGAACGTGAACATATGAACTGTGATATAGATACAGGTTTTTTTCCCAATTTTCTTTCATCGTGACAGCAATCTTCTGATTGAAAGTTCTGTCAATATGGTTATTACTGCTTACAATAGATATTTAGCTAGATTGTCTACTTTTATAATTTTTGACATTGCGCTGTGCCATATTTTTCTTCACCTTTCTCATGTACAGTAGTAGATGGGTGAGATAACAGTAAGGCACTTTTAATTTAATGACATCCTTGACGTGCACGTCCATTACAAAAAGACAAAAGGCTTAAAATAGACAAAAGATAAAGGGCTTGAAATACTTACATGCACTGATGCAAATAAAGTTAATACTACGAATATATTCGTATTCCACATTCTCAACAATTTTCGTTTAGCGCTGGTTACAGTGTAAAACTAAATCAAATGCCCAATTTCCCGCTTTTTTAAACTCGCCTAAACTTAAAGTATGATTAATAATAAATTACAATGTTTATAATCTTTTTCGATAACATCGACAAAAGCGCAATCAGAGATCCCCTCGTACCATTAACTGATTTCCATGATAAAAATATTTTTATGCAGCATTATAGGTATAAGGAACACAAAACAGGTTTCCAACAGTGGGCCTTTTCAAGGCAACAGTGAATAGGTATTATTTAGTCGTCGTCAACCTCATCGTCACTTTCCGTCAGGTGAGATGGAGGTCAAATGCTCACTTATATTTTATAAAAAAAAACAATTAAGTACTCTATATTATCTATATGTAACATATCATTTACTGATTTAGCATTGGATTACGTGTTACAACTTCTAAACGCTTAGATTTTTTGTGAGCTTTTCTGTGAATATTTTCCACCGTTATTTGAGGCGCCTTCCCTAAAACTCACCTGAGGAGGTGCCGGTAATTGAGAAGCGATCGATTATTTTGAGTGAGTCGGAGAGTTTGAGAAGTATCTGACAGTTTGACGTAAACAACTGTACCATTCCTGATTTTAAGGTAGCCGTCAAAGTCTATCAAAGTCTTAACAAACTTAACAAATCTGGTAAGTCCATACATAATATTTAATAAGTCGCTACAATTGGGGGCTGTTCCTAAAGCCTAGAAAATAGCTCACATCTACCCTAACATAAGGTTCCAATCTTGCTGCGACAATTACAGAGCTATTGATATTATCTTGTTTAGCTAAATTGTTAGGCTCATTAGTGTATGAATATTTATACATCCATTTCAAAACCATAATCAAGAGCAACTAGCACGATTTTGTCAAAGACAGATCAACGAACAGCATTTGTTGTACAGGGTCAAGAGCACGTCAAGCTTGACATTTATGATTTAAATCCAACCCTAAGCCGCTTACGATAAAAACTGTCCAAAGTACAAAGTGTTACTGTACAATAAAGGCTATCTGTGTAATGCTTTCGTCAGTCGCAGTCAAGTTCATGTTGTATGGGCATTCAAAGTTGTAAAAAGCGTTCGAGTAAATAAACCACCAGTTACTTTGCAAGAAATTATGTTGCTGGCAGTTATTTTCGACGGCAATAGAAGTCAGTAAATCACTGTTAAAGGTTACAGATCCTTTCCAGTTTCCATCATTTCAGGAGTGCCACAAGGAGCGCACTTGAGACCTCTATTCCTTATCCTTTCTATTAATGACCTGGCCAAATTTTTTTCTGTATGCATTGGATCGCAAATGGCGTTATCGCGTGACATACATACAAAAAAGTACAGTCGAATTGAGAACTTCTTCCTTTTTAAAGTTGGTTAAAACTTGGTGCGCGCTTGTCACAACAGTGGTGATGCGACGGCGCTTCCAGATATTGTATGAAAACTAAAAGTGACGCGGCTGCCGCACTACAGACGCGCCACTATAGCGATTATATAAAAGAGTAGCTATCCTTTAACCTAATGTTTTTTTTATTCTATACTAGCGTCTTTAAGGCCTTCCAAAATTTCACGAAGACAATTTTTTTCGCCCAGTTTTGTCATACACAGGTGCTCCAGCATATGAATTGGCTGAAAAAACTAAATTCGAGAAAATGTTATTTCAAGCAGCGTTTTTGTTTATTTATTTATTTATTTATTTATTTTCATGCAAGTCACATTTGTACATACACCACACACCACACCACACACTATTTAAAGAATAGTTTGAATTTAATAGAAAGGAACAAAGACAACAACATACCACATAACGCAAAATTACCTCGTCCGGATGTGGATAACTTGTTTACTCATGCCCCGTACACTGACACCTTAAATATTCATAAAATCCACTTAAAGGGCTGCGATTACAGCCATGGGGTTTTGATGATGTGATAGATTTGACAACTCTTTGCTTGAAATAAAACTACTTTAAGTTTAAAGTGATTGCCTGTTACTTGCAATGTGATGACAACGATCCGGGTTCTCTTCTCATTTTTTTAATGGCAGATATATGTATAATTATGGATCATTTTGAGGCTCAACAATGCAAGCAGTAGTAATGTACTATATTACTTCAGGTAAATTGATGATTTGATACTTCGTTAAACGGGTAATATGAGACAATTGGAAATTTTAAATGATTAATTGGTTCTTCCGGAATTTAAATCCAGCACTGCCTGAGGTTATCAATATTGGAACGTTGAACCGTAGCCACAGATCTTAGAATATTCATATTTCAATGTTCTCATTTCGAGCACGCTACTACTTTTAAAGCAAGTGCAACCATTGCTTGGTCATTCAATTAATTATGAATGTAAAAATTTTGAAACCTTGAGTCACAGTTTTATTCACAATGTGTTAGAATAAGGAAGCGTTAATATCTGGTCCTATTGGTATTCTACATACATGTACTTCATGGCATTTTTCCATTATTATATATATAGGAAGACAACAACAGCCTTCCACTTCCTGCGACACTGACACACATCCTTCGCCTCATGTTGATGAGGCGAAGGATGTGTGTCAGGAACGAATGAGTGCTTTCATATGTGCTCACTCTTAACCTGACCTTTCTTTAGACCGTCTTTAATTTGGTCAGAGTAAGTTCGCCTTGGTCGACCCGGGCTGCCTTTCCAACAGAGATGTGCGACGTAGATAGGTGGTGTGCGAAGAAAAAATTCACCAATAGGATTTCATCATTTTCCTAGCCTTGCTTAGCGTAGCTCCGGTGGAAAAGGGTTAGCGGAGCTTAGTATTTGTACACACAAAATAGCGAGAGATATGTGCAAGGAATGTGTGCGAGGGATGCGGGAACGGCATGTGTGCAAAACGGTGTAGGAAACTACACAACACTGACAAATCGCCACCGCTTAACCCACCACACCGTACCCCGCCCGCGCGTCGCTGAAAAGAGTCCGTAACGTATCCTCGCACCGCGCTGCTGCACATCCACGCACCGCCTAACTACCTCGCACAACTTTGGTGAAAACGATCACACCGTTTCACAACGCTGCTACACATCCTCGCTACCTAGCACATCTCTGGTGGAAAGGCACCCTTACCAACATGCTCGATCACTCTCGCCTTATAAGTCTGTTTTGTCAATCTTTTTTCATTCATTCTCTGCACATGTCCGAACCAACTAAATATCCCTTTCTCTATCTTTGACACTATTTCATAGTCATAATCATATCATTTATTGCTTTTGTTATATAAAAGGTCTTAAAGCTATTATCACATTCCAACATAAACCTTGTAGGGGCACTGCAATTAACTTACTTTACTAATATTAATATTAATAGGTACACATAAATTCATGTCAACTTACTATACACATAATATCATGTTCTTTTACTATCGAAATACTCTTTTAAGTCATAAAAACAGTTCGTGAGCAAATAACTTTTGCGAACACGTAATTATTTTCAATGTTTCTTATTGTGAGAGGTATTTTGTTATAAACTTTTATTGCCATATTGTGTGCACTCTTCTATGCTTCTTCCTCGTTGCTCCTTCTATGCTCCTTCCAACGCTCTCTTATCACACTATATACATTAGAATCACTCCAGCTACTCTTCTCGAAGCTCTAACTTCCACTGCATTTATTCTGCTTTCGTATTTCTTCTACCAAACCCAACATTCACCGCAACAACAACAAAATTCCAACCTTTATCGTATAAAGGTAGGAATCACTACTCCGCTATGCAATGCGAAACGTGCAGATTTGAAGGAATTCACACTGATTATGATTTAAAAAGCATTTATATGTTGATAATAGTGTATTCAACTTATGGAGCTTTCAACTGAGACTGCGACAATTTCGTCATCGTGGAGCATCAATATCTTTATAGTTTAAATCCAAACTGAAATAAATAAATGTAGTAATTTATTTCAAGTTTTAAAAATTCTTACAAGTGGTTTGGCAATATCTTCAATTTTATTCATTGATTGAACAATTTAGTGCGTAGTCCTACGAGCTGCACTTAGGTCGAATCTCTACTTTCGATTGCCAGTACAGCTGTTTTTCAGCCAGCATGCAGTTGGAGTACATGCCAACCTTACTGCTTTCCGATTGTATTCCAACTGTTATTTTGCACCACTTTTCTATGACTATACCCTCATTACATACTAAACAAGAATTTTATTTTTTTTTAGTAACAGTAGAGCTCCTTGTGAAAGAGTTCGTCCAGGGACCTTACCTATTTTTGCCGCCAAGCAGTAATGTGAGCATTACTGCGTAATATGGGACTTGTCAACTTACGTCTTAGAGTGACGGGCGCAGAGGCATTGCCCTTCACATCTTTGCGATTTAAAGCTCTCAGTGGCACTGCAACTGCTACAGGCGTGTCGATTGCCACCAGGCACGACTTGTTCGTCCAGAACTTGGTATCATATAAAATAATTATTTGTTCTAAAACATTAATAACACGTGCACAACATTGTTAATGATATACTGAGGTATTCAGGCATACTAAATAGAACCTAGAGTAATAACAAATCTGCAACTAAGAACTCTTGCGTTAAAATTAAAAACTTCGTAACTCCATACCTTAGGAGCATTTACTACCACACACTTGAAGATTAAGCCTGCTCTTTCGCAACCCTTCTCCCCATCGCTCACTTGCACTTCGTTAACTGAAACTCGATTTACACAATAAATTACATACAATATGTAAAAATCTTGGAATAGGATTTCGTAATTTCTACACATTGGAAATTAAATGTATTTTTGGATCAAGTCGAGAATATTTGTTTTTTTTTTTCAAACAAACGAACGTTTCGGGCTCTTTAGACTGCGTTTCCACCAGAGATGTGCGAGGTAGCTAGGCGGTGTACGAGGAAAAAGTCGACCAATAAGATTACTGCATGTTCCTAACCTCGCTAAGCGCAGTTCTGGTGGAAAAGGGCTAGCGGAGTATTGCACGTACGAAAAACGAGAGATGTGCGCGAGGAATGTGTGTGAGGGATGCAAGCGACGAATGTTTCCGAGATACGCGAGCCAAGAATGTGTGCAAAACTCTGAAAAAGCTAAAAAGAGTCCGCTACACATTATCGCATCGCCTAGCTACTTCGCACTTCTCTGGTGTAACCGCAGCCTAACAGGTGCCATGGTCACGGGTGACTATTGTCATTTTTCCCACGTATTCATTACACTTATGAAGTCCAGTACTACAACTCGCAATCCTTGTCCCGTATCACAAAGAGATTTCAGCGGCTCTTGCCCTGATGTCGCAATGTCTAAAGGTTCTTGAGCTCGTGTAAATACCAGTAATATCACCTTTCGCGCAAATCTCAACTACTTTTCTGCCGTTTATCACTCGTTGCTCATCTCCTTCTTTCATTATCTCTGCTATTTTATACATGTGTTCTGTATCATAGAGTCCTTGAGCATTCATCTGAAAATATAAAATGATAAGAAAAAAATAATACTAATGACATTCCACGTAGCTATCTAAATTCTAAGCTTCTCGCTAGGTATGCTGCCTCCTCAATTTAATGAAAATCATTCAATTAAATAAAGTAGTGGCGCGCACGACAGGAGCCTCCCCGCATGATGTACGGTACACACGTTTACGGTACACATTTTTCAAGATCAGGTTTTATTTTACACTTAAAACCATTTAAATCTGTCAAGTTCGACCATGTATTGAATACTTGTGCCACCTTTGGGACGGCTCAGCCCAGTTAGCAGCTTCTGACTAGGAGGAGCGGAAAGCAAAAAAAACTTATTAGCAACAACTCTCCTGAGGAGTTGAAGCTACAAAACCTCAACCACCGCAGAAAAATGATTAATCACAACTTTGTTGCAATTTATTATTGCATTCTTAAGACCAATGGAGTTAAGTAGATAAGTTCTTTGAAGGAACAAACGCACTATATGATCCAAAGTACTTATATCGTTGCAATCATTGATACTCTTACCCATCCCTCTTTCTTATAAGCGCAGGCCAGTAGACAATGGGCCTGCTTACTCTTGGGCGGCGTCATCAGCTGCATTTTCATCAACTCCGCGGTATCCACTTTATGGTCCTTCATGCAACTCATCGCCTTCTTTGTGAGTGCTAACTTTACTTCTGCATCAGTCATAGTCTAATGATCACAGAAAAGTATAAACATTAGGTAGCTTGAATGGTTTCGCTAAAGAAGAAAGCTCAACGTAGTTTTGCTTACATACTATGTATAAACACAAATCATAGATATTGATATATGTAACTACCATTTAAAGGGTATTTACAAGCAGCAGTGACTTTCCTGTGAAATCGAAGTTCCAAATCTCAACCACTCCAAGCAGCACACCCATTTCTAAATATATACTATAAGATATCTAATAGAATAGAATTCGATTGAATATTTTAAGAGTTCAAATTCCCTCAAGATATCTCGAAGAAGGTTTGTAGATAATTTAAAGTATAAGAGGGCACAACTTTATTAGTAGATCACAAGAGTGCTTTGAGAAACTATCTGTAGGTAGTGTTAACCGCTCACGCGAAACATGCAGCCGTAGACGCATACCACACCTAGAGGTGCCGGTGATGATTTTATACCGATTTATCGGATACCGAAGTTATAACAGGTAAAAGAACTAATACTAATTGCTATTTCGGTAACTACTCTAGCAAACCATAAAGTTTTTAATGCCTGGATCTGTCATTTAAAAAAATAAACAACTTCAAAAATACGTCACGACAATCGTGTGTGTTATTGTTTGGGCTGGTGATTTCGGTGTTTATTTATTGAAAACATACCGTAAGTAACATTTTTTAAGTTTACCCTGAATATAAATGTTTATAAACTATACTTTAAGGAGTAATTTCATGGTAAACGTTAGAACCACTCAAACGGAATATTATCATATTTACCCAAGTACACCAAAAATTCCATTAGTGCTTTTTAAATGCAGGATTTGCGGTGTATTACTTAGCAATGCAGAATAATAATTTTTATTTTTAAAAACTTGTATTTAAACTGAATGCTTTTCTAATTTGCGAAACCAAATAGCCGCCATTTTGCGGTAGGAGGAGCGCATCGCGTGAGCGTTTAAGAGTGACTCTTATCTTTTTTCTCAAGTAACCCTTCTAGAATGGTACAAGACCATTTGTAGAATGTAGACAGTTTTTAGATAATTTACATTTAAATGCTATTTTAAAACCAAAATACTAAGGCGTTACAAACATAAGACGCAATTCTCTTAATACTAATAAATTTCAAGTTTATTGGCTTATAAAATATAAACTATCAAAATTGCAACATGGCGAAATTAGCTATAATATTTCTGACTTTTTCCCGCAATGTTTAATCGGTTAGAAAGCGCAAATTGACGTGCGACTTTAAATACATTGTGAAAAGTGATGTAAAACCTGCCATAAAAGTAATGCGCTCGCTATATTTTAAATATTTATGTATAAAATATAAACTTAATAAAAATACAGTTATCGATTTTCTACACAGTTTGACAATATTTATAGAAAGCTTAAATATACAAAATAACCCACAAAACAAACCATTTCCAAGAAGTTCCAGGTTTCTTCAAGCCAATTTCAACTTAGATTTACTTTTTAAAAAGAAAAGAAATTTTTCTCGGCTACTTCATAGTCATTCTTTAAAAATAAAAATGACGATAAGAATTTAAAGCTATTTTCAAAACACAGTTGGGAACATTTTGTGTATAGCTTTAAAAACTTTAGAATACGAAAAGACTATTTTTACTTGCTTTAGTGTAGTTGATCTTGTAGAAGAATATTCCTCCTATGAAGTTTTTATGATTGTCTACAAAACGCGGTTTTTCGAAACAATTTTTTGTTTTGACAGTATTACAAAACCTTTATAAAGTTATAGGAATAGTGAGCGTATTATGCAATAAAAAACTTTTCAAAACACTACGTCAAAAAAACAATTGAAAAAATCCAATTTGTCGCAAAAAAAGTTATTCTGTATAATTATATGGAATGTGGGATAATATGACTAGAAAGGTGGATACATTTCCTATCATATAAAAATAAGGAATATTTTAATAACATACCTAACTTATGTTGGAAGAAATAAAATTTTCATTACAAAATTGAGGTTATTTCTTCACGCCAACCACATTTCACACAATGATTTCACTGTATTCTATTGATAGACGGCACAATCCACATACACAACATTGAAGTACAGAGTAGTTTACGCGCTCATTTCAATTGTTTTTGTCATTTTCCAACAAGGAATTACTTCACAATATTTATTTATTTATCAACAAACTAATGCCGGCCATGACCGACCCGAGCGCGAATTACGACTATTGTATCCAGGGTTGCCAATTTGTAGGGAATTCCCTAAATTGTAGGGAGTTTCAACTAGATTGGGGATTTTGAGGGGATTGGCACTATGTGAGGAAAATGTGGGGATTCTAACATTTTATTATTTGGTTTAATCTATCAATTGCTGATGCATCGCTAGTTTGATCGTTACTGTTAGAAACACTGTGATGGACTATGTCGACGTGTTATTCAACATCGCACATCACTCGTGTCATTAACAAGCAGCTTAAATATAATTATTATTAGAGCACTTGGTTCTGAATAGTAAAATTACCAGTCGGTGCGTGTTGAGTTCGCGATTCTTTCTCCCGCTTAGGCCGCCGGTCCCCGGTATGAAGCAAAACGAAATCAGCTATTGATAAACAAAGACGAGCAGTTGGATAGGAAGCCGAGAACTTTAAATATTAAATATAGGTCGAAACTCATTGATTATTTCTAACGTTAGCATAGTGTTACCAAATGCACAACAAATAATCAATTTACTTAATTTTGTAAGGCAAAGAAAAATGTTTTTTTGTTCAAACTGATTACAGATTAATGTTGAATCTAATTAATATTATAATTAATATAACTGCCTCCGTGGCCGAACGGTTACCATGCCGGACTGCCATGCAGAGGTTCCAGGTTCGATTCCCGGGTCGGGAGAAATATTTGTATGGTCTACATTTATTTCTCTCGTGAGTTTGGGTGTAATATGTGGTTGTCTACGTGTGTGTCCATGGCACCCGCGACACAGGATTTCCCTAGTGCGGGGCTATGTTGAGTGTTATTATTATATACGTTATTATTATTATTATTATTATGTATCGAATGATGTGACTTAATATCCAAGGTTCACCACCTCCACCAGATCTTTTAATATTCTTTACTTTATCCATTTTGCATGAACTCTTACAACGTCCAAAGAGTAAAAACCCTAATTGTAGTATTTTTTTAAATAAAATCTACTGAAGACGCGCTATAACGTGTTTGTCAATAAGTACAAACACTTCAGAATGTCTATAAATTAAATATATCTAGAATAAACTTAAGAACACTAGTTTTTAGAGTATTAATAGACTTTCCTGGATGTGTATAGAACAATTTTACAAAAAATTTTGAAATGTGTGCGCAGTGACTTAACTTATTAAATCACACCCTTGGTTTGGTTAAAGCACAAGTTATAATAATTATTAATACAAAGATCGAACACTAAGAAAAATTCCTTCAACCCGACTGGATTCGAACAAGCGGCTTCCAACAATCCGTGGTAGGCGATCTGCCAATTCAACTGCCTCTGTGGCCGAAAGGTTATCATGCCGGACTGCCACGCAGAGGTCCGAGGTTTGATTCCCGGGCCGAGAGAAATATTTGTATGGCCTACATTTATTTCTCCCGTAAGTTTGGGTGTAATTTGTGGTTGTCTATGGGTCGTATTCCAGAACTCTACTCAATACTCAAGTCAGGACTTGACTATTGCAGTGAGGACTGATTGCCATTAGGGTCGTATTTCCAGTGCTTGAAATCATACTCAAGTCTGCTCAAGTCCTGACTTGAGCATTGAGTAGAGTTCAGGAATACGACCCTATGTGTGTGTCCATGGCACCCGCGACACAGGTTTTCCCTAGTGCGAGGCTATGTTGAGTGTGTGCGTTATTGTGCGTTATTTATAATTAAGCCAAAGAACCAACCAGCACACCTTATGAATTTTTCTATGTGCATGTTGCAGATCTTAGTTTCTTGGTTTTTAATAACTTTTTGCCGTAGCGCCATTTGTGTGAAATCTATTTCTTCACTCAGATCACGTACCTTTACAGCTACCAAACGCTGGTTTGAATCCATTTGGATCAAATTTTTTTTTTATGTTCAAAGTCAAAGTCAAAGTCAAAGTCAAAGATTATTTATTCCATAGGTAAAATAAATTTACACTTGAAAACGTCACATTTAAGCTACTGCTCGTTCACTACGCTGACCTCCCTGAGAAGAACGAGCAAGAAACTCTAGGGATTGCTCTTTTCAAATAAACTTAAATGCTGTGGAATACACTTTGAATCAAATTTGTGTGGATTCTGGAGCCATGTCGTCTTTCCATACATCTTTTTCTAACACGTAGTCTTCAATTTTGTAATATGATTTTTCGATCAAAATATTTTTAATGTAGTTTTTAAACTTAGGAAATGATAAACTTAATATATGCTCCAGAATCTTATTGTAAAAACGTATACAGTTCCCCATAAAAGAGTTGTTTACCTTGGTTAAACGAAATCGTGGTACCATGAGTTTGGACTTAGCTCTAAGGTTAATATTATGGATATCTTCTTTCTTATAGAAATTATGTATATTTTTACGGGCATATTAAAATATTTGAGTAAATGTACTGTGATGCCACAGTCATGATACCAGTCTCCTTAAACTTTTCTCTGAGAGATACCCGAGAGCCTAGACTGTACACAGAACGAATCGCTCGTTTTTGCAATACAAATATGGTTTGAATATCTGCCGCTTTACCCCACATGAGAATCCCGTAGGACATTATACTATGGAAGTAACTAAAGTAAACTAGTCTAGCAGTACTAACATCGGTAAGCTCACGTATTCAGCGGACTGCGTATGCAGCGGAGCTTAATCTGCAATCTTCAATCTTTGTATTAACTAGTGGAGTAATTCCACAATAAATAATTGAATTTCATGGTAGTAAAACGTCGTGATATTCAATAAACTTCAAAATTACAATGATTAAAACGACATCTCTAATCAGCCGTTGGTAACTGTAAGGGTGAAGTGACCTGGCTGAGTGAAGAAAAAGATTTAAAGGTTAGAGTGGCATTTTTTAGAAAAACGCATACTGTCCTGTGTCACACAGTCGCTTATCATTAGGTTTGATCGTGACCAAGAGTGTGCCTATTTTACTTTAAAAACATACTTTAAAAAAGATTTATTTGGCGTCAAAACTAAAAATTGCCGAAACATAACTTTCCTTAGCTCCGCTCTTGTAAATGTAATGTCTAAGACCAGTATCATAGTTCCGAGTATGCTACAATAAAATTTTATACTCTATCGTTCTTTGCCTAAGTTTTTTTTTATAATATCAAATGATGGGACGAACAAGTCGTGCGCCTGATGGTAAGCTACACGCCTATCCATAACACTTGCAGTGCCACTCAGAGCTTTAAATCGTAACGATCTGAGGGGCACTGAAACTGCGCCCGTCACCCTCAGACGTAAGTTGACAAGTCTTATTTGCCTGTAACTTCACCAGCACCCTTACCCTTCAAGACCGGAACACAATAACGCTGACATACTGCTTGGCGGTAGAAATAGCTAAGTAAGTAATGTAATGTCCGTGGCAACATTTATTATTTATGTATGTATTCCCGTATATTTTCATATGGGAATACTTTAACGTGGAACATTATTTAATATTTGAGTAGGTATATTATCGTAGAATATTATATATCGTATACTTAAATACGAATATATTAAGATGAAATATTATTCAATAGTTCACGATAATATTACATTCGAAAACATAATTACTAAAAATGTATATACATATATATAAATAGACAGGGAGTACTAAACTCGAGAATGCCAAGTACTTACGTGGACGTAACTGCATAGTATTGTTAAAAAAATTAAACTCAGAAAACCCCTAACAATATTCATGATTCTTATGTAAAACGTGTATTTTAGGAAGAAATTTGAAGAGACTCATTGTTATATACAAACGAAACCAATTACATGGTAATCAGTAAATTAGAGCAATTGATCTTTGCACATTAAAAATATAACGAACTTTATTGCATAACAGTAAAATGTATTATACTGCCTATTAAATTTAAATGTTAATCAATGCTGAAATTGTAACTTGTGATTGCACTTGTTATACAGACTGATCTAAATGGGAACCTATAAAGTTTACAAGATTATTTGTGTTAATACTGTTTTTCATCCATACTTATCGTCACGCCTGTCTCCCACCGGGGTAGACAAAGTCTATGGACCTCCACCCCCTACGCTAATGACGAACCTCCTCCACCACATACACTCCCATGAGTATCTTCAAACAAGTCCATGCTTTATGCTTGGTACTTTTAACCCGGCCGTTTTTAAAGATATCCCTAATCTGATTGAGTAAATGTACGCCGAGGTTATCTCTCCCCTCACTCCATCCACGTTCGTTCTATAAATTAATAATTAATATTGTAATAGGTGTGTACGTAGCGCAGGAGGGTGAAAAACCTGGGTGGCACTCATAGGCCCTATGATTCTATACAAAACATTTTTTTTTTGAAAGACATTTTTCCGTTGCCCGTTGATGGCCTTGACTGCGCCACTGGGTAAGAGGGCGAGTTGAAGGCTCTTAACCCAAGGATACAAGGCAATTTCTTTTGCAATGGTAATTTAGTTAACACTACGATAGCACGTTCTATTTTGATCCCAACGCCATATAGCAGCAAAGCGAGGTTACTAACATTTTCTTGTATGTGGTTTTACAATATATAATAATAATAATAATACATTTATTTGCCATAATAATAATACAACATGCGTAGTGTACAGTAGGTATAAGTAAGTATCAAAGAATCAGAAGATACGACCGCTGGTACTTAAAAAAGGAAAACCTGTGCTATAAGTACCAGCAATTCTTCCAATAGCGTAGTAAAATGTACAATTTATTACGTTATTTTATTTATACATTATGCAAAAATAGTAATAAGAACAAGTAGTAATTTGTGGAGACAGTAAAATTAAATTAATCTAAATTATATAATCTATCTAAATAATTCGCTAACTGAAAATGTATGTGTGTGCGTGCGCGTGCGCGCGCGCGCGCGCGCGCGTGTGTGTGTGTGTGTGTGTGTGTGTGTGTGTGTGTGTGTATGTGTGTGTGTATGTATGTGTGTGTGTGTGTTTGTGTGTGTGTGTGTGACTTGCGTGAATGTTGGACAACGAGTGCGTATTTGATGTGAAAACACTTCATTGAGCAACACGAAAAAGATTTTCTGTTTCTCAATTTGACTTCATATTTCTTCATTTATATAATAACGCTTTTTATGGGAATAATCCGAATGTAATCATAGTTACAATATCAACTACGCGTTCGTAAGAAGCACAGGCCAAGGATTACGCGTGATATCCTAGATCTGTGGTAAGAAGTTTCTCAACGTACCTTTTTAACTGACTTCAAAAAAATAAGGAGTTTCTCAATTGGACAGTATTTTCTTTG